GCGTCACGTGTTCCACACACACTGTTGCGGCTCACCTATGAAATCTGGACGATGGGGCCGAATGTCAGATGTCAGATAAAAAGTCTCTGATGAAAAATTGAACGTGATGGGTTGTTTTTTTTTTCCTTGAGAGAGAGGTGCGGGGGCGGTTGCGACATCCTCTGATTGTTGAGGAGCAGAAAAAGGGGGGGGGGGTGGGGGGTGGGGGGGGTAGGCATCGGTTGGGAATGCATGTGCTTGCTCAGTGCAGGTCCGGATCTCATCAATGTGTATTTGTGCGGTTCAACTGGGGCCTTGATCTCATGATTATAGACCAGAAGCACCCGACGACGGTAAATCTCTGGAGGATCCGACATCATGTCGCCGGTGGATCGAGTATCCGGCATCTTCATGAACTGGCTGCGGGGGCCCGGCCTATTTCCGCACCTCATCAACCCCTACGATCCAGAAATTTACCCAGAATGCGCCCTCAACCCCGACCATTGTCTTGACCCGGCGCGTGTCATCATCGCCAGCCTGGTGGCCCACGTCCTCATGCTGCTCCTGGCCTCGGCCATACTTGATCGTTACAAGAACTACCGCGCTCTCACTTGGCACATGCGCGTGTATTGGTGCAGCTCCTTGGTGAGCACGGCCCACGCCCTTGTCTCCGGCATTGGGGGCATGGTCTATCTCTGGACTAGCCCCGACTTGTTGGAAACTTATGTCAAACTCAGCCCCTGGATGAACTTTTACTCGGCCTGGAGTGCTGGCTACTTCATCTACGACATGGCGCTCTGCCTGGCCATGGCTCCATTCAGCAAACCTTTCCGGGACCCAGCTATGCTGGTGCACCACGTCATGGGTGTCACAGGCTTCCTCCACGTCCTCAACCACCCCGTGGCTTGGATGTGCGCCGTGGTCCTGGCCACCGAGCTCTCCACTCCCTTTGTCAACATGCGCGTCATCCTTGACGGCCTCGGCTACCGCGATTCCTCGCTTTACCTCATCAACGGCGTCCTGATCGTTGCCACCTTTTTCGTCTTTCGCATCGTGCAGGCAGGCTTCTACTACTGGTACATCGTCTACCACCACATTGACGAGATTGTCGAGAAGGTGTCTTTTTGGCCCCGCATGCACTTGCACGTCAACACCGTCGGTGCCACTATTTTAAACATCATTTGGTTCTCCAAAATCTTCCGCGGCCTTCTCAAGGTACTGCGTGACAGCCGTGCTAAGACCCATGAAAAGTCCGATTGAAGGATCAAACAAACGGCAATCGCCCGCGTACCCCGGCTCCGCGACCACCTGGTCTCGCAACCGCTGGTGAGCCTGATTGTTCGCAGACCCCCAGCCTGCCAAACCACTGTGACCCTGGCAACGGAGACAACCTGCTTGCTTGCTTGGACTTTTTGAATTTGAAATCACTCTTGAATCTGACGGGGCTGATGAGAATGCATTCAACAAAGGATGTCAAAAGGTTGATCATGGAGAGGGGCAACAGTTTTGGATACCACTTTCGAATTCGGTCCAAGTCAAACAAGACAGGCTTTCGCCTAATTCACACACAGACCCTGCATTCATCAACTTTCACGCGATGGCCCAAGAAACGATGCCATGCACACGCCAACCTCCTCCTAGGAGCCATGAGCTCACACAAGCAGCTGCCTCCCGAGCACCGCACTCACGGCGCAGCGCAGCGCAAAGAAAAAAATCAAGAAGCAAACTTCCGACAAACAGGCGCACACAATTTACAAACGGCTTGATGCTCTAGGGTAGAGAGAGAATCATCTAATCATCTCTCAGCATCAAGCTTGAGTAGTGCTAGCGCCACAGTGGCTGTCCACTTGATCTCACGGAAGCGATTCAGCAGCAGGGCATCTCGAAGTCCGGCTTGAGACAGTTCAATGAGCTTCTTACGCTCAAGATCGTTGCTCTTGGGGCGTTCGCGGCTCTCATTCTCAATCGTGGAGCTACGTCGCGCCAGCACACAGGTGACAGTGCCTGCTCCGCGATTGGCATCACCCCGATAATGACCCAGGTGCACCCACTCCTCAGCCACCCGGCCCATTTCACTCAGAAGCTCATGTTTGGCGGCTTGAATGGGTTCTTCGTGGGGCTGCAAATGACGACTGACAACGGCCAACGAATTCTCCCCAAGCCCATAATTGGTCTGCTCAAATAACAAAAAGGTGCCTTCGGTCGTTTCCACCAGCACGTCCACCTAAATCCACCCAGAAGAGCGGTGCGAGAGAAACACAGAGAGGGTAAGAGTAATGAGGGTTGGAATAAGAGCCCCACAATGGTGTTCCGGGCTTGAAGACGGATACACAGATGTGATGCCCCAAGCTCATAACGCGGTTCAAAGGGAACGTCACCTACGCGATCAAGAAAGTCAACCCAGATCCAGCCTGAGATAAGCTGACCGCCAGAGGTTCGAATGGTATGGCTCTCCACACGGGCATACTACAGGACGAGACACGGCCAGATCCAGCCCAATGAGAGGGGGACAGTCAGCGCTTGCACCTTCCAACATGTCAGTGGAAAAAAGTCTAAAGCTCTTGGCGTTGAGGCTCGGCTTTGTTCCCGACAGCTACGCGGATCAAAGCTAGGAGCATCTAAAAACGGGCAGACGCACCGCGGCATCAAGAATCTCTTTTGTTTCGATGGTTTCGCCCGGATGGTGCCAGTGGGGACCCTGAAAGCCTGCTAGACTAGCCGCCTTGGGATCTAATAGCGATATACCATGCTGAACCCCCGAGCATGAGCTGCTGCGACTGAATGACGCTGCACCCACAAAAGTACGCAGGATCAAAACATCCATTCTCCATTCTGATCATGATCATTGCGCACCTGTAGCACCAACAGAGAGATGCCAATCACCAGCAACAGGGCTAACACCTGGTACACGCCAATCTTGCTGGCAGACATGATGGCCCGCTCGCACCTTGCCCCAGCCGGCGACAACCATGAACGCTGGACACCTTCAAGCTGCTTGTCACCGCAAAAAAAAAAATAAAAAAAAAATGAGAGCGAAAGAGAGAGCGAGAGAGAGAGAGAGAGAGAGAGAGAGAGTGTGTGTGTGTGTGTGTGTGTGTGTGTGTGTGTGCCAGATGGACAGATACCTTTGATGTTCTGTCTAGCGCACTGTCTTCACATGCTAGTACGTCTCAACACGCACCTCTCTGGAGCAGTCACCAATGAGAAGGGCGGTCGCGCTGTCGAGTTTTTTTTTTTGCGAATACAGTGACAATATCATATTATTCCGTCTCTTCCGTCTGACATGCCTCGCACACCTTTCTCCTTCGAGCAACGCTTACCTGCTATCATGCTACGCTGACGTAGCTTGATAATATTACCACATCTGCATGTACCTGTCATCTACCTTCAATAACCCTCTCTCTATTGTTCATTCTTCTGGTTGTGGTAAGGCAAAGGAAGGCCAACCGGCCATGTGTTCAGACAGTGGTCGGGTCGGGCGTGCTCACTGGCAGTCGGGGCACTGGCAGCGAGCCCCCTCCCCCCTCCCCCCTCCCCTTTCCCACTTCTCTCCTTCTGGTTCATTCACACGGGTGTGAGCGCGCGCGCGCGCGCGTGTGCTTTTGCAAGCTTGAATGGCGGCCAACTCACCCCAAGGCTGTGGTTCGTTCGTATAGAAACTTGGTTGTCAAGCATTCCCGGCCTCTTCCCATTTCATCTTCTTTCCTGAGCATATCCGCACAGAGCACAATGGCAGCACCCGCAAAGCGCGCCAAGGGCGATAACATCGGCATTGAGCCGAGTGAGACCAAGCTCAACTTTGACCTGGTCGAAGATGCCGTCAAGCACATCCAGACCAAGGCCAAGACCCAACCCCTAATTGGCATCATTTGCGGCTCGGGCCTCGGAGGCCTGGCGGCTGAGGTCCAGGACGCCGTCACCATTGGCTACGAGGAGATTCCCAACTTCCCCGTCAGCACTGGTTAGTGAATGCGCTTTGTACCAGCTCCTACCAAACGCCCAGACTCTTGGTGCCAAGCCTGTGTGAGCTTGACCAGCTCGATTCGTTCTCACCCACCACGGTTTCGGGTAACTGCAGTGGCTGGTCATGAGGGCAAACTGGTTTTTGGCACGCTGGGAGGCGCTCCCGTTGTTGTCATGAAGGTGCGTTCAAGGCACAACAACAAAACATTCTGGCATGCACAATCCGGATGCATGCCTCGGCTGCGCACACGCTCTTGGTTCTCAACGTGAGATGCGCTTGTTTGCACAAACTAGGGCCGCCTTCATTGCTATGAAGGTTACGCCTTCTCGCGCATTGCCGTGCCCATCCGCACTCTCTGTGCTCTTGGTGAGACCCATGCCATGCGACCTCAACCATGTTCAAGATCATCACCGCCTCCCGTCCGCGACCCATCGCCTTCCCAGCTCAGTCCCATGGTTACGTTGGGTTGATGGTAGGCATCAAGTACTTGTTTGTGACCAATGCTGCCGGTGGTCTCAATGAGTCCTTTGAGGTCGGAGACTTGATGATGCTCGAGGTCTGTCCACCCTCGGCAACCATGTAGTCTTGGGTCTCTTTACCTGCCTACTTCTGCTCCTCACCCCCCCCCCCCCCC